TCTGCAACAGCGGCGTTATTGTAACTGCATGCCGGTACGTTCAAACTATTTTGAATTTCTACATTAACCAAGCCTATTAAGTGCATGAAAGAGGAGGGGCTAGAAAGTGGGGAGAGTTTTTCGTCCTTCTAAATAGTTTTTTCGGCTTTCTGAAGCCTCCTCCTACTCCCTGTAGGAAGGAACTTCAGAAAGCCGAAATAATTAGCCGACGCACGAGCTGTCCGTATGAAGATGCGTGTTTTTTCATAGTTCGCTGCAGTTTTTGTTGCTACCGGCACCGGTTTTTTCGACAAATGCTTCTAGCTAAACAAATTAAGATTGGTCGCCAGAACTATCAGGAAACACCCCTTTAAAATTTCAGCTTTCTGGTTTTTCTGACCCCTGAGTTAGTAACTTACTCGAAAAAAACTTTCTACGCACACCCGAAGCCTGGGTTTGAGCACTTTGAGACTTACGTGAAGGGGAAACATCCTCTTAAAATTACAGTTTTCTAGCTTATCAGGTTCTTGAGTTAGCAACTTACCCGAGGGAAACTTTGGTGAGCTCGTGTGTGGATACCACGCTTACCCGGGGGGTTGGATTTGAGTTCATTAATATCTAGCTGGACGGAGAACGTCCCTCTAAGATTTCAGCATTTTAGCATTTCTGGTTCCGGAGTTAGCAGCTTACCCGTAAAAAATTTTGGCGGACTCTTACGTGGGTACCACGCGAGCAATGGCGCCCATCTTGGGGACTGGGGCCTGTACGTGCATATAGATTATGTTTCCAAAGTTTCAGCCTTGTAGTTTTTGTGAGTCTTGAGATGAAAAACCGTGACAGACGCACACACGGACACACAGACACACAGACAACCCTCGCCAATATGCGTTTTCTGCATTGCATAGCTGCAAAAAACGCATAAAAACTACTGGGACGATAAACTCATCGTATATAGCAAGCCACGTAACGCAATGAAGTTTTTTACCTCATTCGCCGTAATTGATATGTTTTTAATGGACAAAAGTAGTACGTAGAGGTAGCGCGCAAAAGATACCGTGTGCAGGACAT